CAGTAAAATCGATGTTAGTGAGTGTAGTGGTTGGGCATAGGAATATGCGTATGTAACACTGGAGGAGGTCTCTTTGAATGGTTGGGGCGTACTGCATTCGTAGGGCGTTGACTGCCTCTTCTGCATGCTGTGCCACTCCGACTGGCATGTTAAGTGAGGGGATACTGAGCTTCACTTTCCGATTAGTGTTAACATGCTTGTATAGGTGCTTTTGGTTGTTGGCAAATCTACTGGCCAAATGATGTTGGTAAGCCAATTTGTCCTCACGGACAACCATGTTACAGTGGTCAGGTAATTGCTCCAGTTTTCGGGACAAGGACGAGCTCTGTAAGTGTGCCCAGCTGCCTTGCTTATTGACATGCACTTCGAGTGCTACTTCTGATGGAAAGCAAGAGATTGCTGGAGCGAACTTGCTTTGTTTCCAAAGCATTTGCGAGCCGATTGCTGAAGCGTCCAACAAACTTTATCCAGGAGCTATCGGGTGAGCCACCTTTCAAGAACTCCCCATTGGTCGTCTCAACTATGTTGTTCAAAATGTTGGAATGTGTGATAGTACCGGTTAGTTCTGTGTGTTCCTCGGGAATTTCAGCGTAATACACATAGTTATAAAGTAGGGTGACATGAGAGCTTAACCCCAGTTAGGTCTCTATAAACCGACTGTCCATCGTGAGTTCCTCATTTGTAAGAAAAATGTCAACTACCGATGTTTTGTTATCAGCTCTGTACCTGGTAAGTGAGGTGATGTGGTTGTATAGCGGGGTATTGTGATAAGCTCTTGTAGTTCGGACTTGTATGCCGAGCTTTACAAGTCGTGCCCGTTGAACTCACCGGAAATAAGGTCCTGGATGTAAGTTTGGAGGAAGTATTTCGTCAGTGATGATATTAGATGGGAATCGATCTCTGGAGTGGACGACGGACAGCGATATACGACTGCGACAAAGCAGTTGTTGTTGTAACTGAGACGCAAACGGCACCATGGCGAATCGGTGACCCGCGTCTCCGGATCATACAGTGGGCCGAATTGTTAGTTGTTACGATAGTATAGGATAGCACCACCTCTCCTGCTGGCACGAAGATGTCGGAACAAAAACATACCCTGCATGTAAGTGCAACCAAGTGTCGTTTATGGAGATGAGATCCCAAACGTTTGTTGCCTGACGATTGGCGATTTCGCTGAGGAGGCCTTGGGCATTCGAGTGCATGCAGGAAAGTGTTTCGGTTCTCAACAACGATCCGAGACACTTGTGGATAGGATGATATGTTGTGCCAACCGTTGTATGGACGACCCCTAGCCACTTTTTGTGGTGTTATCGGCAAGTCGCTTGACGTTGGGTTCGGTGGCATTGTGCTAAGCCCCTCTGACAACTCTCTGCACGATGCTGGGAGAGTGGCTTCAGGATTGCAAAGGAAGAGCCTCACTTCCTTCAGAGCTGCTTCCGGTGTGAATTACGGACAAGAGCACTAATTCCTTTAGCTGCTGTACTGGTGCTTCCAGTCGGATGACAGTTTCACTCACCGCTTTGAACAGGAGCTGGGTTGACAGTCTGTTCCGAAGTGAATTTTAGCGTTCCAGTAGGGTGAGTGCATCTGCCTAGTTTGTAATACAACCTTAATTAGCCTTGGGCCGCACATTTTAGCTTCCTGATCTTGGCAGTCTTAAGTTAGAAGTAGACACAACGTGGTCATGTGCCTTCGCTTCGAATTCATTGTGCTCGTAAGACTAGGGGAGGCCGTGGACAAAACGTTTCTGGCTGCGGCATTTAGCCGGAACTTCTCTAAGCTCGGCCTCGCTTGCTTGCGCTCGCTCCAGGGAAAGTCGGGAAGGACGCGAACCAGACCGATTTCGTTCTAGATACGAGCAGTTGAAAGCTACGCTGATCCTACCTCATCGACAACGTTTAGCACAATCCAAAGAAGCCTGGCTAAGCCATAATGCTTGGAATTCGGGTGGCGAGTGAGCCTGGTCAAGTTGGAGGATTTAGTAAGAATACCGAGGAGATTACTTATGACATTCCATTAATTCAGGTCAACCATCTGTTTCCCCTACAGAGCATTTGACGTTGACTCAAGAACCTTGTTGTATAGTATAGATATGGAATGCAGTTGTTTGAGTGTCTTTCTTGCTAGTGTGAACCGTAGTTGAAAGACCCAGCGATTTGCTGTGCATCCGTGTAGCGTTGTCTTTCACATTAGTTATAGGTGTGGTTCTAGAAACAGCAGCGGCTAGTTTTGAAGTGCGCTTTGATGAAACAACCGCCCAGCTGCCACTAGAATTTACATGTTTCCTGGTTTTCAGCAATGTCTGATGGGAGTAAGTGGATTTGTTGAAAGTGTTCGTATATGGGCTGGGGGGTTAGGTGTTCGGGAACGCTTGGGCGATTTGGATTATTGGCAGTGTTTGCAGGTGCAAGTTTCTTAGTGTAGCATTCGACATTTTTGAACTGGCTTGCTGTGGGGTTAGGCGGAGGAAGCTGCATCAGACATTCTGTTATGCTTGTTCCAACTGAAGCTATTTTAGTGCCCAGCATCTGCTCGACTGCGTCTGTAAATCTATCCTACTTCTGGGACAGTGCAAATACGATTTTATCTAGTGGGACAGTAGTAAACTTTGCACAGAACCAACATGAGTCATACTTGCTGCTGACCAGCCTGCACTCTCTTGGTGTGATTTTCCCGCATTTCGCATGGAAGTAGGTTTGGAGCTTTTCACAAAACATTCCCATTTTGACCATCTTATTGCATGTTCCATATGCGCTTTTAGGCACCGCGGCTCGGTTATTGACATCAGGGCACGTGAAAGTGTGATGGTGTTACTTCTACCCAGGACCCTGGTTTGATCGATCCGGCGTCAAGGTCAGCCCTCCGAGACAGTGGCTGTCTCAATGTTTTACTCTTGCGGTCGCGCGCAGTTAGTGGGATTGAGCGGTGCGCGCACAAGCACACGAAGGTGACAAAGTACCCTAAGTGCTTCGGATGCGATGTTTAGTAGGTGAATGATGCAAAAGGTCTCGTAACTGTGTTATGCTGCCATTTGTAGTAATGGTTGCACGGTCGTTTGAGCGTCCTCGTCAAACTGGTTTGAACGAGCACACGCACAGGAATGTGTGTGGAGAACTGGAGTGACCACAACGAGTGAAGCGATAGCCTAGATAAAGTGTGGCCTTACAGCAGTTAGCGTTAGCGTATCTGACTAAATTTCGGCGGTAACTTGCAGCATTCATCTATTAGACACCAACTGAAAGAGAAGGAAGCATAACTATGAACAGTGACCACAACAGAACATTGACATCTTATACCAAAGCAGCTGCTACACTGAACTATCAGACCACAAGAAGCAAAAAAGTAACGGTGGTGGTAACTTTTTACTTCAACAGTCAACAACATTCATGCAAATGTTCTGCTGGTAGAAAAGGTGCAGTTATTTTACAAGCTGATACGAAATGAGACAAAATAAAGCCCAATCAATAACTAAGGTGAAAATGTTCGTCGTGCCATGCGTTTCGATATCTAGTGGAATGTATATAACAGCCACAACGATTAAAACTACCAGATAATCTGTAAGCTGAACTACACGTTAAAGCTTAGGAGCTTTATTAAAGTTGATATCAATCATAACTTGCGTAAGCACTTAGATTCTTGCAAATACGGTATGGTCTTTTCTATCTTTCCGTTTTAATCCAAAAATATTTCACCTAAAAATTTCCATAGGTTAGCGGAATCCATCGATGAATAATTCAATAACGTATTCTTAAGAATTCCTATTTTCGCTGGATAACGGATTTGTTACCTGAACGGACTCAACACAGGGTTGTCAGGAGTGTAGCGGGAAAGCCTAACATTTCCCAGAAACATATCTAACGGTGTTCCCAAGTGGACTCTAATTAACTGAATGCGCAAATACATTAATGTAAAGGATATCAACTGTTTTAATCGTTTATTTCTACCTGAGACAGCTGTTCCAATTGTCTTCGAAATATCAAAGCAGTGACCAAATATCATCATGAGAGTTAACGTATACCTAAATGAATGAGCTCGCTGAATTGTGTTAAAAAACAACATATTTTTGATTTTACACTACAACCGTGGTTATTCTTGATATCAAGATAGTTGAACACCGCAAACATTGTTGATGATGTTGTTGTTGTTATATCTTTCTATCATTTCTTGACAGATATTACCTAGCCTGTGCTTTCGACGTCCCACCAAATTTCCTAAAAATCGTATGCTATAAACATCTTGCTGTTTACTAATCATTCTAAGTTTTTGATGCTTCGCTTCTAGCTGTTTTAGAGAACAAAAGAACCGACCAATATCTTGAAACATATTTGGAACCGATCGGGAAGTCATCATTTCAGAAAACTTGGTAAACGACCGGTTAATGTATTTATGATGACACACAACGTTTTGCATTTGACACAAATGCTTCATCAGGCCAGTTTTTGTTATATTTTCAATCCTTTGTTTATCAACGTTATAGTATGAAACGGGGAGCATATGCGGTGCACTCACGTTGATGTCCTAGCTTTTCATCAACACGGTAAAGTACATTCTGTGGTTCTGTTGTTATTTGCGAGTGTTTTACTGATGCAAATGTAATCATGAGCAGCAAAATACAAGACTATTTAGCGGTTCAGTTGTAACAAATATCTTATCAAGTGTGAGTACTTAAAAGCGCCTTGAAACTCACCACTTTGTAAACCGCGACACCAGTATAACACAGAAGGTAGGCTGAACGAACATCTAAGACAGCTTTTTGGATGAACTTAGCATGTTCTCTTGCTAACGCGTTGTAGACACATAACAAACGAAGTTCGGGCACACAAACTAGCTCTGCTCATTTATGTTTTAAATGGTACATAAAACAGTCTCCGGTGTTCAAAGTCAATAAAGTGGCTGTTGTGAACAGGACATCAAGCTGTTAAATGCTTTCCACAGTACAACCAAATACACAATAGACCACACTGTTTCAAGCATAAATATAAAGTGCTGTTTCGTCTTACCGGTATCGGCTTATAGGTTAAGTGTTTGCAGTCTGGTTCTGGACTTTGTTGTTCCCAAGCCAGCGCAAATAACTGCAATATTTGACAAAAGTGCAATGTAGTTAACCAAATATCTAGAAGCATACTACATAGGCATGTGGCACTTTACCTGATTCAGTGAAATGTTGTACTGCTACAATAATTGCTCTTGTTACTCTCTACTCTGAGCACAAAACATATTTCCCAAATTTACTGTTGATTTCAGTGTGAATTGACAGACCAACAAGCCAGCAATCCATTGACCCACTGCATTCAGCTATTAGCATCCAACAACCAGGAAATGTCACAATATGTTAATGAATGTCAGTTAGATTTAATACAAGCGGCTGATAAAGCTCTCATTTGCATGTGACCTTAGTTGCGCTTGGGTCAATGAAGTCGCTCTACAACTACAACACGAGGTCTTATCATTCTGACAATTGTCAAAGTCATAACAAAACCGGGGCGTAGCCACCTGGCGGGGGCGGCATGTGACAGGGGCGGTATTTTAAGTGCCCTTGGTAGTTCGTTAGCAACTATAAAAGGTAAAATTTCCCGCTGAGTTGAGGGTTGAATATTTTGCTGTTACTCTGTATAACCAACACCACCGTAGCGCCATGAGTCGCATTTGTGCGAACGTTCTTCCCAGAAATTCCATTTACTTGTCCCATTGTGGTCACATCCATCACATTTACTTCAGTGCCCCAAACTACCATCCATTTCATGGGAAACTGATGTGCACTTTACCCTGAGCCGATAGTGTGGCCTTCACGCGCATATTCTGCCCTCAGTCAGGGCTAAAATTTCATCACCGGCGCGGGCGGCATTGTTAGTTGCTACACCACTGCAACAAAGGTGTGGTTGCTTAGCTCGGCGAACGATGAAGCCATCAAGTTTTATGCAGTGTTTGAGTTGATATTTAGTTTCAGCGGTAACCATATCTGAAGTCACAATTTACATTAGTCTGTTACACTTGTTTCAGGTGACAGACGTTCGGCAGGATGTTTGCTGTGTTAATGACTCAGCAATCAAATTTTCAACCGTATCAGTCTGTGTAGCAAGTTGAAACTGGTCACCCATGCGGCTAAACCCACACTCTTAACTGCCGAGTTCAACCTATTCCGGTATGATTTGACTGGTTTCTACATGTTGGCGGGTACAAGAGTACTTACTTGACTCTTTCACAAAATTGGTGGCTATTGCGGGGCGTACTTAGACAGCAATAGCGAGCGTCTGAGATTAATCGACTAACCTAGATGCATCCAGTTTAAGGAAAACACGTCAGGCCATCGTGGCATCATGGGATTTTACCTATCTGATGAAAAAACACTCTTGAACATTATCTTTATATAAACCAGTTAGTTGGCAATTTAAATGACAGTGGATAGGGAATTGTCACCAGCACCCATTGTTTGTGGTGCTCTGCTTTGTCATAATAAATGTACTTAACTTTTATTTCAATGCTCTCAACTAAACAAACTACTGAGCACAGCCTTGACGTAGTTGCTCATCTGCTAGACCGTTTAATTGTAGGATTGAATAAATCAATGTAACTGAATGGTTGTAGTGTTTAGTCGACTGATGCTCCCTATCTAAATCCGAGCCCTTTGCTTGGGTCTGCGTTGTATGCTATGACTTTGGTGGTTCATTTTTTAAGGAAACGATGATACGTATAACCTGCCAAAGCTATCTCATCATTTCCCGACGGGATGACTGAAGTTGTGATGTTCTTCGATTTGCAAAGTGAAACCATAAATTCATTTGAACAAGTATCCGTTAGACATGCCGACCAATTATTTATCCCTACAAGCTGATCATTCAGATTACATCTACATTTGAAATTACCATCACTTTGAAATGCGTATTATAAGACGGCTTCGTTTGACTACAAAATAGATGCCGCATTGGATATAGAATTGAAGACTGGTAGCTCAGGTTGTTCAGATGGCAGTTGAACGGTTCGTTGAGCTTGGCAATTTGGTTGTAAACGTTTCGTCACCAATCGAAGTGACATCATCAGTGCGTAGTTGAGTGACATGTAGTAGCGTAGAATAGCCTAGAGTTACTGTTGTGTCTCCGCTGAAGTCTTCACCCCACGACCGCAAGAAGAAGTGCAAGACGAGCCAGAATGAGACTTGTATACATGAAACCACAGTTGTTTATATAGTTTCGAGGGCAAAATGAAGGGAAGCTACTAAAGTACATTTGAGCCAACCAACAGAAGGAAAAACGTCAAATGCAACGGCGAATAAGCAACCGTGTACTCAAGGGTGTATCGCATATGTCCTTAAAAATAGCATCATTAGATTCCAAGCGTAAAGCGAACGTCCATTTACAGTGGCGGGCACTGGCCAATCAGCATGACGAAATGAAACGTTTAAACAAAAGTCACCAAACAAAAGAGAATAGGGAATGCAGACCCAAAAGTTGAAAACTAGTACAATAATTGTGTGACAACTAAATATTCCTTTAACATAAGCAAGTAGAACAGTGATGAGAAAAAGCCAATAGAATACGTTCTTGCAAATGGCGCTGCTGAGAAGGATATGACGATGAGCGTCCATTAACAATGACGTGGATGTACCAATCGGGCTAACCAAGTAGAGCGTTTAAACAACAGTCAAGAAATAGGAAATAGGAAGAGTAAAGAATAACTATCAAGCTCATTCGCCATAAATGAATGTCTAATAGCTGTTCTACTAATAGGTACTCTCACCGACGCTCTACGCTATGCTACGCTACTGCAGGCCACTCAACTACGCACTGATGATATCACCTCGATTGGTGACGAAACGTTGGCAACCAAATTGCCAAGCGCAGGGAACAGTTCAACTGCTAGACGCCGCATCGTTCAAGTTCACATTCAAAGAGACATACTGTTGTGCAGCTACTATTCTGATACGAGTTCTTCTTTTGAATTACCAAAAGTGCTAATATTTTTTATACGTTACAAGCATGTTTTATGAAGTGAAACATATTGCGGTATGTTGGAACATTGCAACGAGCATTCCGATTAGTCGCTCACTTCAAAGAAAGGTTATTCAACCTACATTCACTTAAATAGTAAACAACGTATTGCTCACTTGGTTTTCGTTGAAATTGTCGAAATGTCTCCACAAGTCGAAAATGTCGTAATTCCATAAACCGTTCGTATCGACTACTATGACCTGCAGCATAAAAGTTTTGAAGTTATGCCTTTAGCATTCATCCAAAAATTTTACCCATACCTAAGCACAGCATTTACTAGCTTCTCGCAAATTGTGAAACTATATTCTTGGTGACAACAATATCAACCAACATAGCTTTGAGTATGAATAAAACAGCTTCAGAAAAAGGCACATGCAACATTTTCACCAAAATACTTGAGCGTGACTTGCATCTATTCATTTGCAAATGTCAGCGAAATCCTATTGCATCGTTGTCGAAATCACCATTGAGAACGTTAATAAAGAGATAAATGCACCAGTGCTTTTGGTGGCTCGATTCATCAATAGGCATAGTTTATTGACAACTAGTTTGCTGGTTTATATGTGAACGGTAGGTACAGGAATGACAGGATAAAACACATGTTATCTACAGTGCACTAGAGCATAATGGCTAGGCCCGCATTAAAAAGATCTGGTAAAATAGGTAGCCAAGGATCAGTGGTTCTAAAATGTAACGCTTGCAAGAGCTGAGTAGCGTTAATTTGCTGCATCTCTCCGAATATTTATTTACAAATACGCTTTTTTCATTCTCCTTTAACAAAATAATTTACTGGACCTAAAGCTGTAAGCTTATTAGTGATTGACCTATGGAAATACTAACTCGTATTTCAGGATTACATACAGCAACCGATGGATGCTATGGTTTTAGAACACTTCAGCTATAAAGTAATTTCTGAAGACAGATGTAGCATGGTTCAATAGTTCGATAGAGTACGATGGGATAAAATGTATAATTTTACAAGACCCACAGGATGGATATGCAAAAGAAAATTAAAATCAAAATGTTCCAACGTGGAAGGTGAAGTACCAGTGGTTAAATCATTGCACTTTATAAAACTCTTGTATGGTGTTTCTCAATAAGATGACCTAACTGCCTTTCGAATGTGGTCCTGTCTGGTGCGTTCACCATATATTTTGGTAATGTATTCCAGTGAGAACAGATTCTAAGTGAGAAAATATACCTTCTACAATTCAGACGGGAGTGTTGCGTTATTAGATTCAGGTGATCGCCTAGGCTTTATCTGTAAGGGGCTAGAGTCAACAGTGATGTAAATGGATGCTCGCACTCAGTTAGTATCCAGTATGTGAGAGTAAGATCTCCCCGAAGCCGCCGGTATTCTAATGAGAACACACCGAGTACACGAAGACGCAGTTCATAACTTATACCGGATAATCCACTCGTTGCCTCTGTGGCTCTTCTTTGGGGCTGTTCCAATAGAAGGATGTCTCGTTTTAACCATGGACAGCAGGTCTGAATTGCATATTGAACTTGAGGGCGCATGTAGGATTCAATCAGCAATGGTACTAGCCGTCGCTCAAATGTACCGAGAGTATCTTTCAAATATCTCAAGTTCAAGTTCGCCACACTTGCTGTTTTCGTAGATTGTAGCGAATTGCCAAGGCTTCCTTGCACGATTGTACCTAAGTCGGGTTCGCTAGTCACGTGTTGTAAGACGTGTTACCATAAAAGTTGTGTTGACGGAGCTGCTGCGCACCATCAGCATGTGCCACTTTGTAGGGTTCAGTGGGAGCTGGTTCCTTTCTGCCCATTCGTTAATCCGGGTCAGATCTTCCTGGAGGTAGACACGGTCGGATGATGAGCGAATTGTTCTCCATATCTTAGCATCGTCTGCAAATATTTGCATCGGGGAAATAACGTCTGCTGGAAGGTTATTTATGTAGACTAAAAACAGTAGCTTGCGGAGGACGGATCCTTGTGGTACACCACTGGAGAAGCACAGGCTTGCGGAGTGAGTGTGGGCTACTCTTACCTTGACGGCTCTATCGTGTAAGTAGTCTCCTAACCAGGTGAGCAGGGAACAGTTGATACCGTAGGAAACAAGCGTTTGAAGGAGAAAGAATTGATTGACCCTGTGGAATGCTTTGGAAAAATCCAAGTAAATCACATCTATGGGGACTCCTTCATCAGCCTCCCTGGTCCGTGAGTCCCGAGTAATCAGCAAATTGATGAGACAAGATTGCCTGGGTCTGAAACCATGTTGGGCTTTAGAAATTATTTGTAGACTTTCAAAGTAGCACGTCAGTTCATCTGCGATAACCGATTCCATCAGTTTTGATACAACAGGAAGGAGTGTAATAGGTCGGTAGTTGGCAGGATCCGATCGCTTACCTCCTTTGTATACTGAGTGATACTTCCATATTTCCGCTAAGATGGGAGTGTATGGGAATTAAGCAGACGATGGAAAAAGGTTTGAATTTCTATTCACCATTATTCTGGAAAACGTTTACTATTAATTACACAATAGTACTTTTCCGTTGGTCATCGACAGCGACGTCGTTCATTTTGTATCACCTACTAATATTACCAGACATAAGACGGGATAAATCAAAGGATGTCAAAACATAAACAAATGTAACACGACAGTCATCGATATTTATCTTTTGTTGCCTTGATAGTATGGAACAACGGAACAATTATTTCCCACGGATATCAAAGCAAACGCTTACCAGTTTTCCTTTGGTAAAGACTGCGGTCAAAAACTCATGTATTAAAATAAAAGCGAGCAGCAGTGGACTTTCCGGAAATTTCAAACGTATACATTGTTTGGTTACATTGTCCTCTGTCCCCGTAATTTGGTTCAAACCCTACATTGTAGGCTTTTTAATGCATAATCGTCGAGTTTGAATTTGGACAAGGTAAGATCAGAGATGACAAACGCGGAAGTGTATTCCACAGCTAGGATACAAAAAATCAGAAAAAGTTCCGGGGACATTTCAACCGGCTATATTTTTGTCGCCGATTTCCAATGGTGGCCTCTCAATGAGGTGTTGTGGCTGAGCTCCAGTAAGGGTCGGCTTGGATGGTTAGAGTAATTGTGGATCTGACACACCAATATGAGTTCGCTTCGCAGAAGACCATATTGTTCACTAAAATCTCCTAGACTAGTTTGTCTTAAACGGCAAGAGAAATGAAGAATGCTTTAACATATTTTAACGCTCGGTTGGTGCTTCTCAAGAGCAGTAACGTCATGCTTTTTGCAGGTGTGCCACTCCGAAACGGCGTAGTAAATTTTTAGTTCCAAGTAAACATTGATAATTTGTGAAAACAACCTAGTAGTAGACCGGCCAAACGCCCTCCGCCGTAGGCACCAGTGTTGTCTTCCTTGCTTCACTGCCATCTCAGCGTGCTTTGAGCTTCCGAGATCATCCTGCACGAACACTCCAAGTTCATTTTCATGAAAAGCGCACTGCCGTCGATTTGGTAGATTATCTTGTGGCATATGCACACTATTTCGAACTTGACAGTTACACCCAAGCGTATTCTGGGTCGACCATTCGCAGGCCCAATTGAGATCACCCTGAAAGGCTATTTGTTGCCCTCCAAATTTTGTAGTCGACCGCAAAGAAAAGGAAACTTTCGCAAGGTCATTTATGAAAACGAGGAATAACCTCGGTCCTAGTACTGAACCCTGAGAGACGCCACAAATAACCTCAATCGAGTCCGACAGCGTGCTGTGAACCAACACATTCAAGCGTCGTTGGAGTAAGAGTGAATGTATTCAGCCCAGGATAGGGTCACCGATCCCGTAGATCCTAAGCTAGTGAAGAAGAATCCGGTGATAAAAGTGATCAAATGCTTTCGATAAATCAAATTAAGCGGCGTCGACTCCTTCTCCAGCATCGCCGGATTGCGTTCAGCTAGCACGGGCTAAAAAACATTCGTGGTACATGAGCGGTAATGGTGAAATCCATGCTTCTCTTGCGCGATGATATGGCAGCTTTCCAAATATTCTATAAGTGCATCGGCAACGACAGATTCCATGGCTTTAGCATGTATAGAAAGAAGAGTACTCAGGCAGGACTTGATGGGCACTGTACGACTGCCTCCCTTGTAAATGGGGTGACTATTCCAAACTTTCATATTTTTTGGATCTGCGTCTCGTCAAAGGAGCGCTAAAATAACTGCAATATTGGTTCAGCCAAGCTCTTGACATATACTATCAATGATTTGGTGCGCATGACATCCGGACCAGGTGAACTGTACTCGCGTAGTACCATCAGTCGTTTAAGCGCATACGTGGATGTGGCTAATTCATGTCGGTGATGTTGTATGTGTGTGAATCGTTGGAGGTGGCGATGGGGGTAGTATCTCGTTAATATGTGAGGTCATCCACGGAAGGCTAAGAGGAAACGGCGACAGTGTATGATAAGGAATGAGCGTGATTCATAGTACCAATATAACAGAGCCAGTTATGGTATACGGCCAGTTTCTACTGGCATTCTGACACGGCCGACAATCCGTGTTACTATGCTAAACCTCAGGCGCTTGTCCGTACGACCTATCTCGTGCTGTGGACACCTGGCGCGCATGGCGCACGGGACAAATACGAGTGGCGCATAGAAGTTCGTAGGCCACAGGTTATTTTGATCAAACCGCAAAATCGAATAGGCAGCGATGGACATAGACATCCGCACGGGTGCGATGATAACAGGGCAGAAACCTTTCAGGCGTCCAGCAATTTCAATGGCCGACGTATCAACGCGGACAATAACATTGTAATGAAAATGACATATAAGTTGCCTTGATGCTTGTTACACGGCTAGCTCGCAATCTGCCTCAAAGTCACGTGCAAAACTTTCATTGAGTATTGTTCGGTAGGGGCAATGAAGTGAATGCATAGAGTAAACTAGATTGTTAGCGTGTAAATCTCAAAACCCAAAACCGATAGAGAAACCACGGTTAGGCGTATAAAATGCGGTGGTGATACCATAATGTGCTATGGGTAGAGAATTAGTGATGCGAGACGAAACTGACATTAGGATGTCTACACAGGGAGCGGCTTACGGTCTCGTTTTACGCCGTCGCGTGCTTCCGCAGTTTACGAATCGAGGAATACCTTCCTACTAAATGCAAGTGTGAAGGAGTCTTGCTTGTTCCGCAAGTGTGTTTAATAGGCAGCCGCTGGTAATCGGCGCAACATATCAGAGCGGGGGAAGTTCAATGCTGG